AAGTCACACCCACAACTCTCACCATAATTGTTCCCAGTCACTGGCAGGCCCCATGCACATGCTAATCCTTAGAGTAAACTGGAAAGGTTTGCTCTGGTAGCTGAGCCACCTCCGCATCCTTGCTTACCAGAGTATTTGTTTCATGTGGTCTTTGAGAAAGAAGATGCCATTTATGGAGAGATGCTGCAGACAGTGGAGTTTGGAGAACTGAGCAATGACCTTACTGATGCACCTCTCTTCTCTGTCTGCTGTCCTGGTTCCAGTCCCGAAAGTGTTCCTACAGATGCGTGCCAGGGAGAATTTGCGAAGACTCCGCATCTGTCCAATGCAGGGAGCAAATCGTGCCAGTGTGGACACATCCCACCCCGTGTTCAGTTCCAGCTCCTCAATGCGTCCTGGGTGGAAAACACTCAAGATCTCTTTGACAGTGCACATAGGCACAGCCCAGATCTTCATGTTTATACAGTGCAGCTGTAGAGAGTCTTTTCTCTGCTGGACCCACTGCAAGAAGCATGTTTGCTCTTCATTCATAGGGAGCCTGAGGCAGAGGTCAGTTACCACCTTCAGATGCCGCCACCTCAGTGCATATCTGGGAAGGACCTTCACTACAGGCCTCTCATCCACAGTCTCTGCTGAACAGGCCCCATCCTCTCTTCCAGTCCATATGTTCCAGAACTCATGTGGAACATTCCTCAGGTCAAGCACCTGAAGTTTCTCGATCCTGTGGGTAAAACGTGTAAAGTGTCAGCAGACATGACAGGCCCCAACACCCAGCAAGTTTCCACTACACATCCCTAATGTCATCTCTTTCCTCCTGCCAAGGTCTCTTCAGCACCAAGTGTCCAACGTAGCAACTCACGTGTGTCATGGCATCTCCCCGTGAGCTGCATGTGTACAGCTGATCACTTTCCTTCCACTAAGTTACTCTCCATTTCTACCTAGTCCCATGTTAGTGGTTGTTGGAAAGCCAGGGATAGGCTCCTTCCTCTCTGGCTACCTCTACTCTGTCCTCTAATCCATACTCAACTGTTCTTACTACAGGAAACAATAGGTTTCAAGGCCCCTGCATTCCAGCACCATGACCCCATCAGAAGCCTCTGACCCACCTACAAAGCCATTCTCCCTGACCCACGGTCTCTCCCACGTGCTCCTTAGTGCTCAGTCTACAGTACTTGGTTGTTGCTTACCCGGGGTGAAACACTCTTTTCAGATGCATGTCTACTGCATCGAGCACAGCCTGGAAGATTTCCAAGTTGGGAGTCTTCATCAACGTCCCCACAGGGAGACAGGGGAAAGGCCAGGCTGCCACCATTGCCTTCACAATCCTAGTGTGTCTGCCATTGAAGGCGTCCTTGAACAGTGCTGGGAAGAGTGTCCAGGTTAGTTTCTCCAGAGCAGAGATGACCAAGGCTTCATTTCTCAGCAGCGCCTGTCTGCCCAGCTCCTCCAGTGTGGGTGGGGTTTGAAAACTCATCATGAAAGGTCTTCAGTCAGAAGGTTCCTGGGGAAGCATTCAGGTGAGAATATATCTTCAAGATAAAGTTTAGAAAACTTCCTCCCCCAGAACAGTAACCACTCAAGGTCTGAGTCAATTGCTCTGGCAATGGTAGAGTCCTCAACTTAAGCCATTGTCCTAACTCGGAATGTAAATCTACAGTTCCTCACTGACATCATGTGAGCCTCTCTATACCACTACTGGGTACATGATTTCCAGGACACCTTACGAGTGACCATTTCTAAAAAAAAAAAAAAAAAAAAAAGCCTTTTGTCATCAATGTTTCGTTAAGTTGATATAGAAAAGATGCAGGCTAAAGCCTGAGTCAAGATAGAACTACAAGCAATTCCAGCTACTGTGAGTCTGAAGCAGAGGAACTGCCAAAGAGGCTAAGATAAGTGGTCTACAATTCCACAAGAGCCCTTGTTCCACAAAACAAATAAAAACAGTAGTGTGAATGTACCACAGTACAAGGGGATATGCTAATAACCTCAGCACCCAGAGTCAGGAGGATCTTGATTTCCAGCCTCCCCATAACTCCAGGGCCAGTTCTAGGACAGCTTGAACAACATAGAAACCCTTGTCTCAAAACAACAACCATAATGAAATCACAAACTTTTATACAAAGACATTTGAGATGGAGGTGAAACTTCATTTAGACATTTACTCATTGTCTTCAATGTGTTCATCTGAAGAGACAGAAATGATAATTTCCTGATCCATCTTGGTCTAAAGGTCCCTATATCAAACCACATGACCCACGAGAGGACAACTACTCACCAGTTCTGAGCACCGACCACAGTCTCTTTATCCCAGCTGAGCCAGGTGCTTCCTCCAGGCTCCAGGTCTCTCAGTATCTTCATGGCTCTCCTGAAGCCTTTATATACCTTCCTGCTCACCCTCCCTATTGCGGTCCCATCTTTCAACCCCAAGCTGCAATTTAATTGGACGACTCAGTCTCCACCCCTTTAATTCTACAGACAACATTCAATCATTTCGTTGATTGAATCAGAACTCCTTGGGAAAACAACCTCACTGCCCCTCAAATGTCTTGGGTCAATATAAATATTCTACTTGTTAATTTACTACAAACATTGAGTTTGTGGATTTGTTCTTATATTTGCTTATTTATTACTTGGTATTGAATGTGTTACCGGGCCTGGGTCTCGCTCTGAAGCTAAGGTTATTTTGGGATTCTAACTCTTAGGAATCCTCCTGCCTCAACATCCTTCTTGCTTGGATTACTCTTATGAATCATCATGGTTCACTGAACTTGATTAATGTGACAAAGGCCGGATGAGTTTGGGTCAGTTTGTGATTTAATCTGTTACTGATACTAGACACAAAAATAATTCAAAAATATTTCGTCAATGGATCCTGGGCAAAACATCAAGTCAGTCGGGAATATGCTTTGGAGCTCAAGGCCTAAACTGGATACTCTGTCAATACACTCAAGTAGCAGCTACTCAAAAGGGTGAGGCAGAGAATGGCTTAATTCCCTTACTATGGAGGTTGGGGTGTTGGGGATGCACTCAGTTTGTAGAGAACTATCTACCCAGCATCCACTGCATCCTCTTCCCAGCACTCACTGCAGCAGAAAAGCCGGAGCTTGCCTGTAAGCTCAGACTTCCAGAGTGGGAGGCAGTCGGTCAGTTATCTTCAGCCTAGGTGTCAACTCAAGGACAGCCTGAGCCATGTAAGACCTGCCTTCCACCCACTGAACAGAACAGAACAGAACAAAAGAGGTGGCTTGGAGGAAAGCCACCCTTGGTTCCCCAGGAAAGAGTCAGTGCTTCAGGAAGGTCAGGGTGGCACACTTGCTCAAAGACATGAAATCAAGAGTGAAACCTGGGAGCTGAGAATGGCTCAGCACTAAAGAGCACCCATTAATCTTCCAATCACAGCACCCACATCGTGTCTTGAAATGATGTGTAACTCCGGTCCCGGGAGATCTGAAGCCCCCCTCTGACCATCTTGGGCTGCAGTTATAAAGTGTTGCATATTCATACATGTAGGCAAAACACTCCTACACCTAGAATGAATCTTAAAAAAAGTTTGT